TCCCATAAATGAAACTTAGTTTCTTTGTTGTGTATTTCATACCAAACTATCGTACCATTGATGGATATCTCTCTTCGAAAATATAATGGAAACTTACCATAGTCCGTACATGTAAGCATACCATAATAAGGACGTGCCACATTTTAAGTAACTATGCTTGCAACATTCAGGAGACCCCTTATCTTTCTCAAGTATGCATGGATTTTTGCTAGGTCGGGTTTGGATCAGCTTTGGGCTAGGGAAGGTCTCTGGAGTGATAAGACAAGAAAAAATTTTATCTCACTTATTCACTTGGCTATCTTGTAGGTTATATGCAAGGAGGGAAACTATAAGGCTTTGAGAATGTTGATTTTTCTTTTCGAAGAGTGAGAAATTCATGGTTCTAGACCTTATTTTTTTGCTTAATGCCATCCTTGTTCTTCTGAGGGGGACTTCGGGGACCTAATTGCATTATGACTTATTCGTAACTACTCCTTTTCTAATTGGAAATACCCCTTGCTTCCTTGGTTAATGAATACTTTTTCCTTTCGAAAAAATTTACATAACTCGAAGTTAAAATTGTAATTTAATAAAAAGGGAAAAGAGAGAAGCAAAAGTAAAGCAAAAGACAAAAAAAAATATGACTATCATGGAGAACGAATGATGCAGAATAGATGCTGAAAAGGGTCTAAGAAAGTCTACTTACTTGTCCTCTTGAAGTTGATCACAAGCCTGTATGAGCCCTGTGCATGCAAGTCTCACATGCTCAGCACCTATTCTGCAAAGGCCAAATGTAAAACTAAGTTCAGTGCTAACCATTTATTGGTGAGTGCACTGCTTGGGCATTTTGTTTGGTCATGAGTGTCATGGTTGGAGCATAACACTGGACTCTTGAAGGAGAGTCACTTTCCTCCTTCTGATCTCTTCGACAGAATCAACTTAGATTACTTTTTGGACCAGGGATCATAGGGTATTTTAGGGATGTGTCTTTTGGTTACTTTGTAAAGAAATTAGTTTGCAGCTTTGAATCGATTCTTATGTCGTTCTTCATTCTTTGGTTTTTCTTACTTTTGTCGCTCAAGACGATTTTTTTTGTCCTCTGCTACCTTGCTATTTCTTCTATCTAAAAATGTTTCTTTTTCCTTGAAAAGTATAGATCATTTGTAGAGAGAGAAAAAGTCAAATTAGAAAGAAAGAAAGAGATTCTCATACTCTCTTTTTAGAAAAATATTCTCATATCCTAACCTATAAATGTCATGGTACAACTTTTAGGAAAGTAAACCCTTGATATAAACTAGCTGATGAAATCAAACGTCACACAGGTACCTTCATTAAGTCACATGCACCACACATCCATAAATAATAAGACAAAATTTCTCAAACTCAACCTATAAATTTACTCGTATAAGTCTAATTTGGAAAATTAACCTTTGATAGTAAATAGTTGTTCAAATTACACATGCTTCACGTATTGCAATCATGTCAGGTGCCCTGCTATCTACATTATGTACACATTTTGCTTATCCATCAAGAATTTAATCCCAAAAAACATCAGGATAAAGTTGGCCCCAATACGTAACTTATGTAAAAGAAGATCCTACCCAGGAATCTCATTGGAAATGGAATATTCAGTTACCTGAAAGAATTGATGTAAAAGGACAAATCAAGAGGCTACCAAAGACGAGCACCCAAAGAAGCAGACATTACGTTTGTCTCTTTTATTTAGAATGAGCATCCTACTTCATACATTTTTAACCTCAACGTCCGGTATATCACTATTAAAGCCTTATTGAATTTGAATGCTTGTTGAGGATAAAAATTGTTTCAAACAATGATATGTAAACTATTGAAAACATTCTTTCTAACTTGAAACAATAAGGGAATGAGATCATGTTGGTGAAGAAAAATGAGTTTGTGGGGTTTATTATACTACAGCATTATAAACAAACCAAAATGGCAGTAAAATATAGACAAAAAAAGAATGCATTAAAAGAATAGTTCTAGGTCATAATGTTATCATTTAAAGAAACCATATTCATAACTTTACATCGGTATTCATACAGAAGCGAAGTATCGAAAATATGTCAATTAAAATTTTTTCGAAAAAATGACTTAAATATCATTAGCACCACCAAAATAAAAGCTAAGAGCAGTAGTAAATGAGTCCAATAGAGAGGAGATGAACAGGTGATAACTGAAACAATTGGATACCTAAAATCACATGTATGTGAAAACAATGCAGCAATAAAATCAGACAAAATTAAGAATATCAGTGAGGGAGAGATTAACTATCATAGAGAAAGAAAATTGTTGCCCCAAAATAAATTAGAAAAATCATCGAGTTAGCTATGTGCCCAATACAGGAATGAGGCACCCACCTTAGATTTGATAGGAAATATATATTTATTGCTACGTGTGTTCCAAGAAAAAAATCATTCAAATAAAAGAACAGCATTTATGGCAATGATAATGACTAAAAGTACATTCGACAAAAATAGACAGAAAAGAAAAAAGCACAAAACTAGTGAAACAGGGAATACATTAAGAGGAAAAGAACATTAGTCAACCGAAAGAGGAAGAAAGATTACATCATATCTGAAAGTACATATCTGGTGGCTTGTAGAACCCAAAACAAGGAACTTCCGGACCAAAATGGAAAGAATAAAATCTAAAATAACCTAAAATGATATGATTAACAAATGCATGGTTTCATGCCATTGTTACCTCATAGACTAGCCACAACGAGGTATGAAGTTCACATAAAGGCTGTAATTAACTGACTCTCCTTCCAAAGATCATATTACCTATCTTCTTAATAGTATGTCCTTTCAAACAAATTTCACTTCCTCATCTAACAGCTGACAAGAGGAAGTGAAACAAAGAGACTGAACAAGCAGCATGAACAATGTTCCATCAACTTCTCCACGTGATAGATCAGCCAATATCACTTGGATTATTTGATAACTACACAACAAAGAAACTAAGTTTCACTTATTATACCTTGAGCTTCTTTCCTCAACTTGCCGGGCCAGTGAAGTCAACTTAGAAAAATCAACATCAGGATGACTACTGTAAACAAATAGACAACAACCAGCTTACATTCCATTCCTGGCTGAAACTTCATATAAATATTTCTGGAAACAAGGCTACCTATAGCTTTCAATTTCTGATAAGATGATTTCCACGTTGGTACAATAAGCATTAATCAACTGCACAACATGATCAGGTTGCTCCACAGATTTCAAATTCTGAATTTGAGAAAACCGATCGTTCAATATTCCCTGCAAGTATGTGGTAGCACAATCAACTTAGATTGTTTTCAATCAAGTGGTTTGCATGTTGTACAAAATCAGATCTACAAAACTGCAGGTGCAAGAGCAATTCTGCACTACTGAAGTTAGTGATAAACCTCATAACAAGAATATTTTGAAACACTTGTAGTTGACATCACATTGGGGGTAATATTTAGAAGGGAAAATAGAAGAACTGATTCAAGACCAAGTTAACATTTCTCCAAGTTCACTTGTACTAGAAAAGTTCTGTACTTCTGAGATTAGCACCCTAAACCTGATATGAAGGATTTTAAGTAGAAGAACTTGCATTCATATGAATACGTATGGAACAAGGTCTGTGACAAGTTCAGAAAATCTGATACAAGATCCCTGAAATAAATACAAAGAAAACAAATTGTCACAGAAAAAAAAGATCTGGCAAATGATTCATAACCTCATCAAACAATGATTGTATGTATTGCTTGAGTAATCCTTCAACGATAGATAAAGCCATTTCTGATATAAAAAAATCAGAGAATCCCTAGCAACCACAGAAGACTTTAGCCAACAGTGAAACAGAGGCCCTTGCATGAGACAGCTAACCTCAGTGAGAGACTAATAGGAAAATATGGGGTAACCCTTGGTGCCTTTACACTAATTTACACCAACATTTTCCTTCTTCAAAAGGGAATAAGGTGGGGCAGATAAAAACAATATGTGTCAGCACACCACAAGTTTAGCATGACACCCTTGAGATTTAACACCTTTATTTTCAAATTAACATCAACGCCACTATGGATCAAAGCTGCTAAGCAATTTTCTCTTTTTTCTTCAGATAATGCCTAAATCAATTTTATATTGATAGCAAGGCATAATTAAGTTGTCAATGCTGAACTTTCTGGAGAAGAAATTAGGGCACACAATAATAAACTTCTCTAACGTCCAAGATAAGTAAAGATGGTGCCACTAACTTAAAAAGAGGGAAAAGACAAGAATGTTAGATGTTTCATCTGCAGATTGCTTTACCAACAGAACCCTAGAGAGCAAAACTTAAGAAGGCCAGATTTTCAAACAAACAATGGAATTAAACCAGAAGCAAGCCCAGAAATCCAGATCATCTAATATTTGGTTGGAGACTATCTAGTTTGAACATCTATTGCCATCATCATGTTTCAAGGATTTACTGTACTCTCTTTCAATGAAAAATCATTCAATTAAGTAGGATCCTGTAGTCCTATTTGAACTTAAGTAAAAACAAAATTAGTAATGATTATATACCCTCAAAAGTGGGCCCCAACTTTTCCTGCTTGACACGATGACTAGCATGATGGATCCCACACATCAAAGGGAGATAATGTGCTACTGCAGGATCCATGCCATGTGTAAGAATTTTAAGACTTATATGACCTCTCAAGTGGACCCACTTTTAGTAGTCAGACCAGGTCATCATTGCAATATCTGGCTCTCATGATAAGCATGACTAGAAAAGAAGAAAAGAGGTCACAGTACTGGGGAAATTCCTTCTTCTTTGAGGGCACTTTCTACCTATCACTAACGAAAAGCACAGATGTCGTATGGATTTCAGTTACAGGTTCCAAACCAAAAGTCATCTTCTTTACTTCGCTTGAAGTTGACTAAAGTAAGGTCACTTCAAAATTAGAATGTTATGCAAACTTTACCTCCAATTGGAAAAGTGTAATGTCCTGGCATGAGTTTAAAATGGATAGAAGGGTACAGAAAGTCACGTAAACTGGTGTTGAAAATCAATCCAAAACCAGAAGAACACAATCAAGCTGCAATGTTTTGGAATACAGCCTTAGACAAAGCCCGCAAAATGAGTCTAGGATTGTATGAAGACTTTTAAAAATCCAAAAATATCTAGACAATCCAAGTTCTTTTAGAAAAAGAAAGAAAATATAATTTCCCCCGAATTACAGCATTCCTTTTGCATGCATAGCATCAATCTAAGTCCACTTTAAGGTCTAAAAATTAAAAAAAAAATTAAGTCAATTCAACAAACTGTAAACAAAATAGTAACTCTTTTCTCCGAAAATCTATGATATCAGGCTCTAGTTTACTGTCAATAGAAAAGTAAACTCATATTTGACCTGTAGTACCAGAAGACAGTTATGAGTTTCAGAATCTTTAAGCAATTTTTTACAAATAGTAAAGTACTAATTTCTCTTTCAGCTCGGTTACAAAACCAAAATGTTAACAATTTTCAAATATTGCCTTGTAATTCTGAATTTCCCATGTCGACTTCCAATTGTGCATCACCATTAACTTTAGGTCCATAATTGCTTCTTCTTCCTGGGTGGGCTCGTATAAAATTACCTATTGGAAGTCTTTGCTCCAATTTTTTGTGTTTGATTTGAAAAAAAAATCAAACAAGTTGACTACAAAAACATATCCTTGCAAAGAGACATAAAGAAAAAAAAATTCTATTCGATAAAAGATGGTCACTATTTTTCTTCTTCCATTATTTTTCAATGCTCTACTTTTCTTGTTAAGTTCTAGATTCTCCTCTATTTTATATATCTATTAGTTTTCCTTTAACTTTTCTTTTATGACCATGATTACCTATACTTGCTTTGTGGTGGTAAAGGAAGATATTATTAATAGAGAACGAGTATAAAGTGGAAGAATAAGATATCCTATTGTCAAATTAAAGTAAATAAAATGCAAAACAAATAAAAGAAGGCATACATCAATACAAGATAGTCCTAGATTCCTTAGCAATCGAAAATGGCAACCCGCCAATAAAAACCACGTGCCTTAGGGCCACAATAAGGCATGCACACCATCCTATCCCAAATTCAATCTACATGATTATACCTTTTTCGAAATATTAGGGTTTTATCTTTGTGTCCTTTTTAGCTAGGATTTACTTTGAAGTATCCTATCCTAGTTTTAGTCTTAACAAGAATAAGGTTAACAGAGGTCTACATATATCCCCTATAAAATTCCTTTTTTTATAGAAAGAGAAACTTTACTGAGAAAGGAATATATAAATTAACAGAGAATAAATTATCCTCCTCAAAGATTAAAACAGAAAGAACAAATAAAATGAAAGAACCAAAGATGGTCTTTTTAAGGACCAGCAATGATAATCTCCTAATTCCGATGAATGTCGAAGATTGTTGTATTAGGGTAGAATCCATGGATTTTAGTCCATAAGGTCAATGACAAAGTTACCCTTTCCCATATCTCAAGCAAAGAAGTACCCTGGCTGCCAAAAATGTTGTGATTCCTCTCCAGCCATATGGTCCATAATCCTGAAGAAATCGTCTCTTGCCATAAAGGTTTCACTTTTTTTCTCACCCCTACCCCTCAATGAAAGATCAACTGTCGGAGGTACAATCCAAGCTTCTACCAAATAGATGAAACAACCTTGTCCATATCTCCAGGCTATCTCACAATAAGGACTAGATGGGAGTGTGCCTCTCCTCCTCTAAAGCACATGACACTGTTCTCGGATATAGGACCAATGTGGATGCAGACTTGAAGCATGTAATTGGTGTTAAGTCTTTGATGCATAGTGGTCCAGCTAAATACTCTTATCTTCGAAGGAACCCGAACTTTCCAGAAAACATAGATTATAGGGGATTGGCTAAGGAGAGGGTTTATTACAAGGTTGTCAAAAAAGATTTAATAAGAGTCTAAGCACAAAGGTCCTGATGCCAGTGTCTGGTGTCAGGCTAGTTTGATAGGTGAATTGGTTCCAATAATGCCAAAAAATTTGCATTACAAGTCTCTCTATCCAACAGGTTTTGGGTAAAACAAAAGTTTCAGGCAACACTGCCATCTGTGGTTTCTGAAACCAATTAACC